TTTATTGACAGATAGGCTCACATTGTTACAAATAAAATTTTTTCATAATTTATTTACTATAAGTAGCCGGGGCGCCAAGGACGACTAGATGGCAAATTTCGCCGGTTGCCAGAGCTTATGGAGAACTTTGACTCTTCCAGTCATCAGTTAGTTGGGGCGCAGCGTGAAAAACAGCTAGCGGAAAAATTGGGGAGAGGTGCAGCAAGAAGAAAGTGTGTTGCCAAACTTAACAAAAGGTCCTTCCGCCCACTTACAGACTGCCTACAGAAGCACGCAAAATGATCATCAGCTTGTGGCCTTCAGTTGTCAGTGGATGCTTCTTTGTCCATGTCTTCGTCAATGCCTATTGCTGTTGCTGCAACTCGTTCAACTGTTCCACTTGGTCTTTCATTATGGCCACAAGAGGAGAAACCACTATGATCATGGAGAAGGGGCTGTCTTTTCCATTCATCGAAGACATTACTCGTGGAAAGAGTTGAAAGGTTAAACTCTTTCCAAAACTGGTGGGAAGGATTGCAAAGACATCTTTACCATTGACCATATTTTCTATGCAATCCCTCTGATCTTCATGAAGGCACTCCACATGGGGAAAATCTTTCAGCATGTTGTTTATCACAGATTTGAACATCGCATCACTTGTTGAAAGGCCTCTGACTGCCGCCATATCGCATTCCTCATCTGCATCAGCAATGCTCGAACGTTGACAAATCCTGTCAAAATTGTCCGATCAGAGGGTATAACAGATCCTGGTATACCAGCTCGCCGTTTTTCATGCTGTGCCCCAACTAGCTGAGCCCCTGGAAGAGGCTAACAATTAGACATAGTGTGAAAATATATTTTTAGATCTTTAGACAACTTCCAATATCCACTCAGGAGATCTGGCAAACTGAACAATCTGGAGAGCACAGAAGAAGCATAAGAGTTGCTTGAGGTGTAACTAAGCACAACTCTAGCTCCTTGGGTGATCTTGGAATTTACCAAGCTCATTATTACTTGATGTGGGAGGTGAGGTGGCCTCATGGTTTAGCGGTTAGTGTGCTTGTCTCTGGATTAAGAGGCCCAGGTTCGAGCCCTGGCTGGGGACATTATGTTGTGTTCTTGGGCAAGACACTTTACTCTCACAGTGCCTCTCTTCACCCAGGTGTATAAATGGGTACCGGCGAACT